GGGGCCTCGAGGGTTGGGCCGAGGCCTGGCTGGAATGTCAGCATTCAGGTCCCGGAACTCGAGCCTTCCTTGCCCTTGGAGCTGGCCTGGGGCAGAGGCTGGGGGCTGAGCTGACACAGGACATGGGGTGGGCTCCTCAGCCTGCGGTCAGGAGGGATCCCGCGGTGCAGGGAGGGCCCCAGGTGGAGCCCAGGGGGGTGGGCCAGCCGTACAGTCTCCCTCCACCATGGGCCTCAGTTTATCGCCTGTAAGGCCAAGGAACGACAGCTCTCTAGTGGGGCAGCTTGAGGACAAGCCTAAGGGAAGACTTGCTCAGTCCGCCTGCTGTGGGGCTGCCACTCAATAGTGTGCCTGCCCCGCCCTCCTCAGTTCCCCTGCCTCCCTCCCTCCCCTGCTCTCATCTGATGTGTGACCCCACTCCGCCCCCTTCAGAGATCCCAAAGGAGAACCGCAGCTGAAAAATGAATGAAAGCATAGGCATGGGGGTCAGGCAACATGGCATTCCTGTGGCAGGGGGAGTGTGACCTGGTGCTCCCCTCCAAAGACCCTCCAGCTGGCCGCTCACCAGCTCAGCCAGGAGGGACCCAAGTGCTCCCCCTCCCTCAGCCCCCAGATCCTGAGCAGCTGTCACCAGGCAAGGTACCCACCGCCAGGTACCCTGGTGACTCAGGCAGTGCAGCCCCTAACCTCCAGACCCGGGCCCACCTGCCAGGGGGCAGCCAGCCCCTCTGTGAGCCCCTGACCTGGAGAAGCCAGTGAGGTAGGACCAGAGTTGGGGAGTGGGGGCTGGGGGTGTCCTGGTGCGGTCTGTGTGTCAGTATGTGTGTGTATCTGTGTGTGATGGTAAGTGTGTTTGTCTCTGTGCTAGGTATGGTATGTACGTGTTTGCGATATGTGTATTGTGTGCGTATGCAGGGTCTATGTAGTGTACGTGTGTGTGTGATATGTACGTGTGTATCTGTGGGGTATGTGTTTGTGATGTTTGTGGTGTGTGTGTGTTTATTTCTGGGGTTTGTGTGTCTAGTCTGTGATGTGTGTGTATGTGTGTGTATCCATGGTCTGTCGTATATGTGTGTCCCCAAGTATGGGGTTATGTGTCTGGGGTGCGTGTGTGTTTATGTCTGTGCTATGTGCACATATGCACATCACTGGTAAGGGCAGGACCCTCCCTGACCATGGAAGCTGTGTGCCCTTGGATAAGCGGGAGGTCGTTGTGATCCTATGGGGTCACCTCTTGTTTCCCCACTTTTCTGAGCCCTCCTGCTCTCTTCCCTGGGCCAGCCCCCCTTCCTTCCTGCTGGGGGTACCCTCTGAGGTCTTTCTGTGCTCACCTTCTGCTGCTTTTAAGTGATTGGCGTCAGGCTGCAGGACTGGGCTGCTCAGTTTGGCTCTGGGCTCCCTTCCTGTCCTGAGCCAACTCTGCAGGGCCTTGGGGTCCACAGAAGGCATCAGTGACATTCCCATCTGACTGGCTCACTGTCATAATCTCCCAAGTCAAGGGAACAGGGTGGAGCCTTTGGTGGCTCAGTGTTCCCCTGGTCCAGGCAATGGCATGCTTGCTGTCCCTCTGCATGGCCTGCATGGCCGAACAGGGAGCAGCATCCAATCTTATTGCCTTCTCTAGAGGCTGAGAAGGGAGGGACCAAGTTCACATTGGGACATGTTGGGTGTGAGGCTCTAGGGGGGTCCCTGGGGGACAGAGGTCAGGGGTCCTGAAAGACACAAGTCTGGGAACCAGGACAGGGTTTGGACTGGAGTTAACATGGGTCACTCTTAGATGTTCATAGAGGGTCTGCCATGTGCCAGGCCCAAAGCAAGGTGCACATTGCACACTGGTGGTGGTGAAGACCAAGGGAAGACCATTCTCATGACGAGTAAGGAGTAAGATGTGACATGGGCCTGTGCCAACCCCCACACTAAAAGACCAGCAGAGAAAATGACTCATGCCCACACCCACCCATCCACTTGCCTCCTCCCCATGCACCAAGGCCATCATCAAAGACTTCCAAGCACAGGCAGAAAAAAATCTGTCCCTTCCGGGGGACCCCCAAGGACCCCATGATCTAGGCCACCACTTATCTCATAGGTCCCATATGCAGCCACATGGCCACCTTGCTGTTCCTTGACCTGGCAAAGCATACCACCCCCCACCCTCCAGGGCTTTGCACTTGCTGTTCCCTCCATCTGGAGCAATCTGCAACAGGCAGCCAAGGGCTTGTTCCTTCACTTCATTAGCATCTCTGGCTTTGGCTGTCTTCTGAGAAAAGACTCTCCTGACCACATTACTTAAAATATCATCCCTGTGGTAACCTCCATCCCCTTATCCCATTTCCCTCCCATATGACCTGAATTTGCATTACCTAACTGCGCGTTTTTCCTTTGTGGTCTGTCTCTCTCGCCAGACGTCATCTCTCTGAGGGCAGGCTTGTGGTCTTCTCTGCTGTATTGTCAGTGTTTGGCCCACAGTGAAAGCTCAAAACACGTTTGTGGAGTGAACGAAGGAAGGGAGGAGTGGATGGGAAGGCAGGACCAGTTGGAGCATCCATGGACACCAAGGCAGGACCACAAGAAAGGGAGCGTCACACTGTGAAACCCATTTCAGAGGGATCAGGGTTATAAAAGGGAAAAACAAAGCTGTAAAACCACAGGATGAAAAGAGAGGAAGATATTTTCATGATCTGGGAGGAGGGATAAGCTTCTCAAGCAAGGTGCAAAATCCAGAAGCTGTAAAAGAGAAGCCTGATGGATTTGACTACATAAAAATAAAAAGGTTATGCATGTCAAAATAACTGTGAGACCGCATGTGCAGGATCGTAAGTTATGATCATAATCTGTTGTACATGTCACATGCCTCTTAACGTTGTTTATTGTTTAATAAACAGATTATGATCATGACTTAAAATGAGATTCCAGGAGCCAATAAGTAAGACACGTACAGCCCAGTAGGAAAAAAATGGGCTTAGGAGAGGAAGAGAGAATTCACAGAAGAAGAAATACATGTGGCCAGTGAACAGCTGAGTAAATGCTTAGCCATACACAAAAACCGTTGGAGGCACCACCGAAAGGTGGGGCGATGCTGTATGGCAAAGGTGCATGGTTCCGGGTGCCTCCTACGGGGTGTGTGGTTCCTGAAGGCAGTGGGAGGGCAACCGGGCAGACATTGAAAATTCACACTCCTTGTGACCCAGAAATCCCACTTTTCGGAACCTATCCTTGCAAAATGCCAAAGCTGCTGGATGCCCCATGGTCTGTACTAGCACAGGAAGAAAGCAGAGCCACGGGATTGGCCCGTGGCAGGGAGGTAGTGGCTTGCCGGGAACTATGCAGCCAAGAGCAAGACTCTGTTCTGGCACTGAGAAGGCTTCTCAATTTATTAAGTGAAAATAAAAGCAAGATGCAGAACCACGGGAATGGTGGGGTCCCATTCGTGTGTGTTTTTAAATCCTGTCTGTGTTCTCACAGATGTAGACGGGTGCCGGGTGAAATATCCAACTGTCACCAGCAAGTGGCTCTGGGGAGGGTGGGGTGGAGCTTGAGGAATGACTTTCCATTTCTTACTTGTCTCTTTCTCTATTTTTAAGATTTTATTTATTTATTTGACAGAGAGAGAGAAGAGAGCATGGGCAGGGGGAGGAGAGGCAGAGGCAGAGGCTCAGTGGGGCACGATCCCAGGACCTGAGCTCAAGGCAGGTGCTTAACTGACCGAGCCACCCAGGTGTCTCTCTTACTTGTCTCTTTATTGTAGACTTTTTTTTAAAAAGAGTTTTATTTATTTATGAATATCACACACACACACACACACACACACACACACACACAGAGGGGCAGAGACACAGGCAGAGGGAGAAGCAGGCTCCATGCAGGGAGCCCGATGCAGGACTCGATCCCGGGTCTCCAGGATCCCTCCCCGAGCAGAAGGCAGGCGCTTAGCCACTGAGCCACCCGGGCGTCCCTATTGTAGACTTTTAACAACTCAATATAGTACTATTGTAATATTTAAACAAAGAACAAGTAATATTAAAGAGGGGTGCTGCTGGGGTGGGAGGGTGCTGTTGGATTAGGAGGGGGTGCCTAAGGACCGTGGCTGGCTGGAGCTCTGGGGAGACCACAGGGCCTCCTTGAGGCGGCCTCGCTTTGCCCCTCAAGCCGGCGGGTAAAGGCCGTGGGGGCCGGTCCCCCTGGCGCCTCCGCACATGGTGTAGACATTGCACGGTTCCCATCGCCCTGCTTTCCCGTTGGGTGGAGAGATGAAACCCGGGGTCTCTCAGTGTGGCAGGGACAGGCCAGGCTGCCCGACCAGGGCTGCAGGGTCCCCTGCCCCGGCCCAGTCGGGGGCTGGGTCCTCCAGGACATGATGCGGCAGTGGGAGGGCGCCGCTGCAGGGCCTCAGGGTCTGTACCAGCACAGAGCCTCAGCGTCAGCTCGGTGTGCACGGGTGAGGGGAACTGTTCCTGGGCGGCCCCCCCTTCCCCAGGGACGTTGGTGCTCCCCTCCCTGGGGGGAGGACTCCCCTTCTCATAGGAGCCTCCCCAGCACCCAGCTCATCGGCAGGGGGGCCCGAAGCTAAGCTCTGGACACACTGACACAGGGAAGGGTCCGAGGCGCTGGGGCAGATGTCCAGCCAACAGGTGGAGATGTGCATCTGCGGTCCAGGGGAGAGGCCCAGCTGCGGCGGGCAGATGTTTGAGGGGACCTAGAGCCGTGAGCTGGTGGAGGCACGGGGGGTGGGGAAGGGGGTGTAGAGGTGAGCAGGTGGCCGGACGCAGCCCTGGCTTCTACACAGAAAAGGCTACAAGAATAGTGACAGCGTCATCACAGGCACTGCTGCGTGGAGCCCACAGGGCGGGCTGCGGGGAGGGAAGGGGCTGGCCCTGGGTGTCCGGACAGCACCTAGGTCCGCCTGGCTCAGAGACAGCCACCTCCCCACCGGTCACCCTACTGAGTGTCTCCATGTCACACCTAGTGTCTCATCCTTGTTTCTCTGCCCTTCTCCACAACAGCAGATGATGGTGGTGATTTAAGATAGCTAAGCTGTTCTGTCTTTGCTTCTGCCTCTGACCTTGGTCTTTGAGCTCACAGAGCTGGGCAGCTGGAGGTATGAAAGGTAAGAAGGGACTGGGGACAATGGCAGGAAGCCAAAGGCCGAGGAGGCTCAGCTGGGGGTGGCGGCAGATGCGGGGGTCCATGCCCACGCCTGGAGCTGACTGGGCCGTGGAGCCCGGGGTGGCTGTGTCTGCTCACCCAGCCGAGGAGGAGGCCCTGGTACAGCAAAGGAGGTGCATGGCCCTTGAGCTAGCAGGCACATCAATGGCAACTGACCAGGGAAGGTTCTTTTTTTTTTTTTTTAAGATTTTATTTATTTATTTATGAGAGACACAGAGAAAGAGAGACAGAGGCAGAGACAGAGGCAGAGGGAGAAGCAGGCTCCATGCAGGGAGGCCGATGTAGAACTCGATCCTGGGACTCCAGGATCACGCCCTGGGCTAAAGGCGGCACTAAACCACTGAGCCACCCGGGGTGCCCCCCAAGGAAGGTTCTCTTGCGTCGGTTCACTTCCTCATTTTACCCTCAGAGCCCACAGGGTAAGCCCACTGCTCTCTTGCTAATGGCAGAGGGATCAAGGACACAGACTGCCAGGGAGCGGAGAGCCAGGACTTGGGGGCAGTTCTGTCTGATGTCCTGCCTCCCCCTTATGACCACTAGCCAGTTGGAAGCTTCCCATATTTGGTTGTTTACACTTAGGTGTTTTCTACATGTTTTCACCCAGGTCTCACCAGGTGAGTTGGATGTTTGGGGCTCTATTTCACAGACAAGGAAACAGAGGCCCAGGAAGATCAATTAATGTCGCCTGACCAGTCAGCTCCTGAACTCGACCTCCAAACCCAGTCACCCCTCAGACCACTGTGTCTCTTGGCACAGCCTCCTAGCTCCCCTGGGGAGGAGCATGAGAACCAAGAACTAATATCTGGGTCTCTCCTTAAGATGGCACCAACCCTCTTTCCTTGTTTTACCATATTTGATGGACTCTACTATGACCTTTTTTTTTTTTTATGCACATCAAAACTTGCAGGATGGGTATCAGTGACTCAGGAGAAAATCCTGGAGCCAATGGTGGAAAATTCCTAGGACGAGGTGCTGGATTGCCTGCTTTGGCTGATGCAGAGGACAAGACCAGATAGAAAACCCCAACTTCAACAGCTCTTGAGTCCTAAGAGATTCTGAAGAGTTGGGTTCCAAACACCAAGCAATTTTAGGGCCACTTGATCAAGAGTGTCCCCATTTGTATCTCAGGGAGAGCTGTGTAGGCTCACAGCTCCCTCAGTCCTCTCCTCCTGGGTAACGGTGGGCCTGGGAGACACACCCAAAAAGCCATATGGCCAATGTGCAAACATGCCTTCCTAGGTGTTCTTTCATCCCCAAGGAGGTGGGGAAAGATGCCCTCTTGCCGGCCTGGGTGCCACTGGTAGAAAGTGGGGGAGCTGGATGGTGGGTCTGACAGTCTATAGGGCTGATGATCCACACCAACCGACTCTGAGCCAAAGCAGAGAGGAGATTAAAGCCTGGGAGCCCGGATGAGGCACCTCTGCTGAGCTGGCTCCCACAGTCCTCCATGGGTGTGGCTCACTGCTCTGTTCCTAGGGCCCCACCCCACCCCAGCGCACAGCAGGTGTTCATTCAATCGGCGTTTGCTGACTGATTAAAAATTGCACCTGCTTTGGGGTCTCTATTACACAGACTTGAGTCATGCATCTGCAACTTCTCTGAGCCTTAGAGAGGGTCTAACTGTAAAATGGGGATAAGATGTCTTCATAATAGAGTTACTGGGAACATGAGTGAGATGTATATACAGCCAGCGATCAACTGATGGGAATGGTCGGGAATACTTCTGAGGAACAAAACTGGTTATGATTTGTTTGTGCACTGGCCTCTGACAAAGCCCCCAAATTGACTCTTGACTCAAAAAGACTGGGGGGAAAAGCATTCATGGCTCACTGTAGACCCATCCTCAGTGCAAGGACAATTGCCACAGCTGTCCTGCAGGGGGGCACAGGGGCTTCTCCCTAGCTCTGGGCATGACTGAATCTGCACCGTCCTTGTCCTCACACCAGGGAGGTCCTCAGCACCAGCAGGTCTGTCTGCGGTACTTGGCAGGGGCTCCTCCAAGTTGTGGCCTTGACTTGTTCACCTCTTGTCTTGAGTACCTCTTGGTGCTCAGCAGGTTTCTTGATGGATAAATGAGTCCTTTTCCACAAGAGCTGAACCCCAGAGAACAGGCCTGCTTTCTCTCCTTCTTGTACAAGCGTGTGCACATGCAAGCACACACACACGCAAATATGTGGGCTCACCCACCTGGCTGGAGTCTTTTTCACAGGTCTGAGACTTATAATGTCATCTGTCTTCCCACAGCCAGCCATAAACTCCTGCTTGAATGTGGGCACCTGCGGGTACCTCTTTGCGTTTGCCCCAACAATCAGTGCAGAAGATACTCGGGGATCACTAAATGGATAAAAGAATGAACCTGACTGGAGGTAATTGATATGAAAAAAGTCTACACAAGACGATGACCCTGAACCATGAGTACTAGTTAGAGCACAGGCTGGGCATTGCTATAAAATGCAGGCTTGCTGTAAAGATGCCAAAGTAACAAGATCCAAGTCTATTGCTCCTTGAGTGATGGGCTGATTATGAGCATGGAGCATTGTTAGGGGAGCTCCATGGTGTCAGGGGACCCAGGCTCTGCTAATCCTAAGAAACAGCTTTCATCTTGAGATCCAAGGTAGCTGCTCCAGCTCCTGCCTTCACATCCACATTCCTGCTGGCAGAAAGTAGGAAGGGGAAGTACAAGGAACTCCTTTTTCCTTTGAGGGAATGGCCCAGAAGTGGCTCCCATCACACCAGAGTGGCTAGAACTTAGTCCCAGGGCTACACCTTGCTTCAGGAGAAGCTGGGGACAGTGGTCTTTAGCTGGAAGGTCATTGCTAAGCTTGAACTTGGAGGGTCATTTACTAAAACAAGAAGGAGAGATGGACGCTGGAAGAATTTGTGTGCTTTGCCACACGTCACTTTGAAAAGACGGAATGGGAATGCCTGAGTGGCTAAGGGCATGATCCCTGGCTCCTGGGATCAAGTCCTGCATGGGGCTCCCTGCATGGAGCCTGCTTCTCCTTCTGTCTGTGTCTCTGCCTCTCTCTGTGTGTCCTCATGAATACATAAATAAAAAATCTTAAAAAAAAAAAAGATGGAATAGTCTGTTCGTTGGTTATGTGTGGTAGGGCAGGGGTCAGAGTGTGAATCTGGATGAAGAAAATAGTGGGAGAGACAGAGGAGGTTGTGAGTGAGAGGTTCAGGGGTGTGTGGGGCCTCTTAGGGGTAGAGTGTCAGCCCAAGGGCTCTGAGAGGCCCAGAGAGGTGGACAAAGAGGCAGCGACAGCTAGTCTGCAGTCTGCCCTGGGTGGCCGGATTCTAGTCCACACACCCACACCCACACCCACACCCACAAACACAGAAGACATGGGAGGAGGGAGGCCCGGGCTCTCAGCAGATACGCCTCAGGTCAGTCCCACCACAGGAGCCGCATAGTCGTTGCTAGCAAGTCTGAATAAGCTAGCAGGGTTTATAGAACCATGAGCCTTCCAGTTTCCCTTGAAACGTCAGAGGCTCTGGCGGGGTGGGCGAAGCTGGTCTGACTCTTTGAGGTAACACTGGGCAGGCCACGGCCCTGGCTGCAGGTCCTGGCCCACTAGCTCCCCACCGCTCCTTACTAAGGGTCCTTCCCTCATTTCGTCTCCCTGTCAGTGTAGACACAGGAGTGTTTGGGCACATGGGTGGCTCAGGGGTTGAGCATCTGCCTTTGGCTTAGGTTGTGATCCCAGGGTCCTGGGATCGAGTCCCACATCAGGCTCCCTGCATGGAGCCTGCTTCTCCCTCTGCCTATGTCCCTGCCTCTCTTTCTGTCTCTCATGAATAAATAAACAAAATCTTAAAAAAAAAAAAAAAAGAAAAGAAACAGGAGTGAGTGACCTTCTCTGTACCACCAAGAAGTCCCACTGTGTCACCGCAGGCCTAGCAGGGCATATCCATCCCTGGGGGAGAAATGCTCAGTTCAGAGCGGCTGTGGTTCATTCCCACATAGTCTGTGCCAGACCTTGGGCCCAGGATGAGGTTCAGCAGTTAGGGCAGAGAATCCTTCGACAGAGAGAAACACGCTTATCTTTCATGGGAAGAAGTCCAGGGGAGGCAGGTCATGACCGGCAAGGTGGCTCTACAAAGCCACAGAGGACCCGAGTTCCGCCAACCTCTGGATGCGCCCCAGTCTTTGTGGTTCAACATGGGTCCCAGGGCCCCCGGAATGCTCTCTACATGCCAAGCAAGTGGCATGAAGACAAAGAAGCGGGTAAAGTCTTTTCATCCACTTTACCCAGAGTAGTGGGTAAGGTCCATTTATTTATTTATTTATTTATTTATTTATTTATTTATTTATTTATTTATAGAGACACACACACAGAGGGGCAGAGACACAGACAGAGGGAGAAGCAGGCTCCATGCAGGGAGCCCAACGCAGGATTCGATCCCGGGACTCCAGGATCACACCCCAGGCTGCAGGCGGTGCTAAACCGCTACGCCACAGGGGCTGCCGGTAAGGTCCTTTTAAAGAAATTTCCAGAAACTCCACACAGCACTTATTCTGGTCGGCCCTGTGTCTGGCAAAATACCAGGCTCGTGTTACCAAGAACGTCAGGAGAGTGGGCATGCGGTGGGCGACCTGAAGCCTCTGCCGTGGGATGTCACATAATTAGCTCATCTCGACCTCATGTGGTGTGAATACTGGCTCCACTGCCCAGAGAGCCAAGTGCAGCCCACTGAGGTTCCACACACGTGTGATGCTCAGCCTGTGAGTGCCAAGTGTCCATTTCACACTTGGAGCCTCCATGGGACCCTGCTCTGTGCCTCTGTGTTTGGCTCTCTCCAGCTCTCTTAATACAGCACTGACCACAGAGGAGTCCAGACGCCCAGTCATTGTCCACCTTTGAGTCTCTTGCCACTGGGTGGACCTGGCATTTTTTTTCTTATGCAGGGGTGAGTATAGGTGATGGTTTGGCCCACCTACGGTGGCAGAGTACACCTATGGGACGTTAAGGTCGACCGTGGAAGCTCAGGCCTGTGGGGACCGTGTCTCTGGAGTGAAGGAGGAGAGGGGTAAGGAAGGGGTCTCCCCAGGGGCGGAAGAGCTGCTCCCCAGGCAGAGGAACCCCCAGACAAAAACAGTGTGACCTCATCCAGCAACTGGTTACTTATTAGCTCCATTGTTTTCGACATCACCCTTGGCCAGAACTCAAAAGTGGCTTTATTTTGCAAGCTGCTTTGTGTGTGGAGACACATCCGGGCTTGATAATGCTGCAGACCAGAGTATTTTGGTTCTTCCTTCTTTAAAGGGAAGATCTTGCTGCCACCCAGCCCTGCCTCTCCCTCCAGATTGGAAACTATGTGACCGTCACGATGGGGTTTCAGTGGGACACCTCGGGCCAGATTTCTGAGCCGAAAGGAACACATGGCTGCATGGGGGCCAAACAGACACTCTAGACAGCTGAGTATGATGTTTTGTCCTGTCCCTTAGAAAACAAAGCTTAAGCTAAGCAAAGAATTGCTTTCAAATCAAATATTTGTTGGCACACAAGTATGTCCTGCTGGTTAGAAAACATGTTTTTTTGTTTTAAAATTAGATTTCCCTGGAAAGAACAATGGCAAAAATCAAAGGGGACAAGTGTTTGGCGGGGCAGAACAGAACAAACGCCTTTGCCCCAAGAGCCTTGAGATTTGGGGAGCGCCGAGCTGCTCCCAGTGCCTGGCTTCGCGGTTTGAGGTAGAGGCCTGGGCTCACACCTAGCGTAGGGCCCGGCAGTTGCCACCTGGGGCCCGCCGAGGCCCTGGTGCAGGGCATCCAGACAGACGTCTACAACCTGGGTCAGCCTTTGGTCCTGCTGGCTGCCTCACTGTGAGGGCGCCCCGAGGGCCTGACATTGCTGAGATGGCCCTGACTGCGTGCGATGCGCCCCCAACATGAGCAGGACTCTGCTGCCCCGCTGCTGCCCCGCTGAGGGCCGGCACCTCCATGCAACTCCAGCTCTGGCCACAGCTGGGGACACCAGACTTGGAACCTTGACCCAGGGCAGCTGTCAGTAGCCTGGCTCGAGAGCGTGGCCCGGAGCCCAGGGTCTGTCCCGCCAAACAGATGCTCTCACTTGAGGCTTTTGGATGAAAACACACACAGAGAAGGATCCAGAGAGCAGAGACAGACACGTGGAGAGCAGGCAGTATGCAGAGGCCACCAGGCTGCGCAAACCACTGGCCGGGTAGCGTGCTCCTGAGGACAGAGAGGGGAGGGTGCAGATGGGAGGTGGACAGGAAGAGCAAGACGTGAGACACAGCCACGGAGGCCGGGACCCCGGGGACATCCAGAACCATGGCCAGGCCTCCGAGGCTGAGCCCCGTGTGCTCAGGTACAGCATTCACGTGTGCTTCCGGGCACGTGTTCAGGAGTTGGGAGCAGCAGGTGTGTACATAAAGAAGGATGTATTTTTCCCGGACTTGTAGTCCATTTCCCATCTCTTCTAGGAAGCCTCCCTGACTACCTCTCCACCCATAGACCTCAGTCCTCTCCCTCTTTGGGGTGTCCACAGAACTTGTCCTTGACGGTTCTTAGCCTCCTGTTAGAGCCTAGCTCTTAACCTCCGTGTTCCATCTCCCACCCTCACCACATACTCCCTGAAGGCAGGGACTATTCTGGGAGGCGCCTCCGCCAGTCCCTGCAGCATTGAGCCCGAGGCCCAGAGTGTGGCAGAGGCTCAGTAGGTACTAGTAGGTGGCCTGGAGGCTTTGCCTGCATAGCCCACGATGGGGCCATATCTATAGAAAGCCCCACCTGTGCCCCCAAACAGGGAACACCAGCCCTGATGGCCTCGTAAGACAGAGATGAGGGCTCTCTAGGCCTTTGCCCTTGGCCAAACCAGCGGAGTGGCATCAGCCCTGGCCTTAGGACAGGCGACAGGTAGCAGAGCCCAGTTGGTGAGTCTGTTGGTATTTTGGAGAGAGCTAGATGCACAGGCCAGGGCTTGAGGCTGGACCAACTTGGAAAGGTGGAAACTTTTCTCACTTCTCAGAGCCCAGTTGGTACTGCCTGGCCCTTGGCCATTAGCGAGGACAGCCTGTAAAAGAAAGGGCTTTGGGGCTTGCTTTCCATGGGGAGGACAGGGTGGAGATGCTGAGCTCCCTGAGGTGAGCTGGGCCAAATCCTGTATCTCCGTGTGCCCGGCAGGCAGCACCAGGCCCAGCGTGGAGGAGGTGAGGTTCACTGGGCAGAAGACAGAGATGGGACAGTCAGGGGAGTAGGCCGATCTTTGGGACCTGGAAGGGGTAGAATGGAGGGTGGGGGCTGGGCTGGGCTGGAGA